GCGTTGCAGTTGGGGGGGACCCCAAGGGAGGGGGCTAAGAGGAGGGAGGGGGGAGGGAGACCCAGTTTGGGCTGGGGGGGGGGATCAAGAGAAAAGGAAGAGTTGCAGAGTTGCTGGGGAGGATGTTTGCCCAGGAGTGTTGGCAGGGGAGAATTTGGCTGTGGGACCAGGCCTTGTTCAGTCAGCCCGAAGCACGAAAGGGACCCCCTCCCATCCAATGGGATACGAGGGGCTTCCCGAGGCCACCGTCTAACCCTCAGATCTAGCTATGTGTAGGGGTGCCGACAGGCCTGGAGAAAACCATCCTGCTCCTTAGAGATTGTATGTGTTTAAACAGATAGTTGAAGCTTTTCATCACATGGGCTTAAAGAGCCAGTTGGGTATAGTGGTTAAGAGCGCAGACTCTAATCTGGGAGAACTGGGTTCGATTCCCCACTCCTCCACATGCAGCAGCTGGTGTGACCTTGGGTCAGTCACAAGTTCTCTCAGGGCTGTTCTCTCAAGGGCAGTCCTGGAAAGAGCTCTCTCAGGCCCACCCACCTCACAGGCAGTGTTCCCTCTAAGCTGAGTTAGTGTGAGCTAGCTCACAGTTTTTTAGCCTCCAGCTCACACTTTTTTGTCTTAGCTCAGGAAGGATGGCTCCAGAGCAAACTCATTGATGCAGTAGCCAAATCACTCGCTCACAACTTTAATGCCAGTAGCTCACAATGTAGAATTTTTGCTCACAAGATGGCACAGTTTAGAGGGAACATTGCGTCACAGGGTGTCTGTTGTGGGGAGGGGAAGGGAAAGGAGATGGTAAGCTGCTCTGAGACTCCTTCAGGGAATGAAGGGAGGGGTCTAAATCCAATCTCTTCTCTCTTCTAAATACCATCCCGTTAAGAGTTTATTAGTTTTCTCTTGCTGGCGACCCTCGATGCATCGTTTTTAAGTATTTTCATTCGTAAATAGAGCATTTCAAGCCTGAGCTCTTCCTGAAGCTGCAGTGACTAAACTGGGGTTATTGTACTTTGGTCACATTATGAGAAGACAGGAGTCACTGGAAAAGAGAAGAATGCCAGGGAAAGCTAAAGGCAGCAGGAAGAGAGGAATACTCAGCAGGAGATGGTTTAACTCAATCAAGGAAGCCCCAACCCTCAGTTTGCAAGACATGAGCCAGGCTGTGAACGAGAGGACATTTTGGCGGTCATTCGGTCCCAGGTTCACCATAAGTCGGAGGCGACTAGATGGCACTTAACGCTCACGCAAATCTAGCGCTGACCAAGAAGTCACTGCAGGATACCTAGGAGGCATTACCTGTATGTATCAGGCATCAGGCCCCAAGGATTCTATTGGCCGGACTGCTGTGATGTCATGGAATTTTATTAATGCATTGGGATTTTCATGCACATTCCAGTTTACCAGGGAATGCCTGCAATCCATCTTTTGAGATAACTTTTTCTTAACATCTCGCATTGGCCCAAGAGAGCTTTACGTGGTTGGCTGAGGACTGCACAGTGGAGCCAAGCGGTAGGGAAGTGAAAGGGCTGGACTGAAGGAAGTGTGCAGAGTGAGTGCATAATGTAAGAAGGCTTGATTTTCACAGGGCCTTCCTGGGTCATAGCCAGGCCCGTAGCCATGGTGGGGTTTGGGGGAGCTCTGCCCCCTCCTTTAAATGCTTTTTTCCATCATTGAAAAACATTTTCTTTAAAGGCGTGCTCTCCTTTAAGCAGAGTGGGGTGCTGTGGTTGACGAATGCCCGCCGTGAGCAAGGGGGTTGGAGTGGGTGACCTCTAGGATCCCTTCTAACTCTGTGTCAAGGAACTGGTCTCCCTTAAGAGACTTTTTCTGCCCAAGTGTCAGTTTTCTTGGCTGTAGAAGTCATCACCCCCACCTGCCGGCTTGTTCTCAGAATTGTTGCTTAGGCTGGCAGGAGTGATTAACTTGCAGCGGCTGAGGACTGTCGTCTAAAGTGCTTGACAGATTGCAATTTAGAGATCTGTCCTGGTAGCAGCTTTCTATTGGCTTTTCTTTCTGCACTGAGAACTTCAGTTCCACCAGGGAAAAAAAATTGCCCCACAAGCCACAAAATCCTAGCTGCAGGGCCTGGTCAGAGCTCTTGCGCGCCACTGACACTAGACACCTCCCCGCTGCCATTGCTACCACTCCTGGGAATCTTCCTTCACTTCCTCCCCCTCTCCTCAAACCGAACCCCCTTTTTGGTGAATCCTGGGGGGGGGGTCTCACTCTGCCTTCTGCTCCTCTTCCAGGGAAGATCGTGGCCATCATTTTCGGGGTGTTCTTGGGCTGCCTCAGCCTCTTCCTTGCCGGCTGGATCGCAGCAAAAAGAATACGGTGAGACGCAGGCGGAGACGGGAGGCCAAGCGGTTCCGTTCTTCCCGCAGGAGGTATCCCCCCCACTAACCGCACTGTGCTGCAAGAGAGAAGGGGGGAAAGGTCTACACAGTGGGGTGGGGCTGGGGGATGTCCCATAGCTCTGATACATGTGGGTCTGGCCTACAACTCATAAGAACATAAGAGACGCCCATGTTGGATCAGGCCAAAGGCCCATCCAGTCCAACACCCTGTGTCACACAGTGGCCAAAGATACCAGGTGCCATCAGGGGGTCCAGCAGTGGGGCCAGGACACTAGGAGCCCTCCCACTGTTGTTATCTAATTCCCTTTTGAAGCCGTCCATGCTTGTAGCCGCCACCACTTCCTGTGGCAGTGAATTCCATGTGTTAATCACTCTTTGGGTGAAGAAGTACTTCCTTTTATCCGTTCTAACCCGACCGCTCAGCAATTTCATGGAGTGCCCACGGGTTCTTGTATTGTGAGAAAGGGAGAAAAGTACCTCTTTCTTTACCTGCTCTTTCCCATGCATAATCTTATAAACCTCGATCATGTCACCCCTCAGTCGTCTTTTCTCCAAGCTAAAGAGCCCTAAGCGCCTTAACCTTTCCTCATAGGGAAAGTGTTCCAACCCTTTTATCATTTGAGTTGCCCTTTTCTGCACTTTTTCCAAAGCTATAATATCCTTTTTAAGGTGTGGTGACCAGAATTGCACACAGTATTCCAAATGAGGTCTCACCATTGATTTATATAGGGGCATTATTATATTGGCTGATCTGTTTTCAATACCCTTCCTAATAATCCCCAGCATAGCATTTGCCTTCTTTATTGCAGTCACACACTGTCTCGACATTTTCAGTGAGTTATCTACTACAACTCCAAGATCTCTCTCTTGATCAGTCTCTGCCAGTTCAGACCCCATCAACGTGTATTTATATTTAGGATTTTTGGCTCCAATGTGCATCACCTTGCACTTGGCCACATTGAACCCCATTTGCCATGTTAACGCCCACTCGCCCATCCTTGACAGATCCCTTTGGAGTGCCTCACAATCCTCCCTGGTTTTCACCACCCTGACTCTATGCTCTTGCTTGTAGAAGGAACAAACTTGAAGCACTTTCAAGAAGGCCACAGGGGGAACAATAAGGAAGCGGGCCCCATTAAACATTGGTGATAGCCACCCCTGGCCACTGGGACTGCTAAGAAAATGAGATGGCTAATGCCGGGGCGGGAGAGGGTGAAAAGAACTATAGGGAGCTGGACTATTTGTGAATTTGCTGCATTGTGCAGGGGTTGGAGTAGATGACCCTGGAGGTCCCTTCCAACTCTTATGTTTTTAACTGTAGTTTGGTGTAGTGCTTAAGAGTGTGGACGCTAGTTGGGGAGAACCAGGTTCGATTCCCCTCTCCTCCACATGCAGCTGCTGGTGTGACCTTGGGTCAGTCACAAGTTCTCTTGGAGCTGTTGTCCCACGAGTTCTCCCAGCCCCACCTACCTCACAGGGTGTCTGTTGTGGGGAGCAGTGTTCCCTCTAAGCTGAGTTAGTGTGAGCTAGCCTCCGGCTCACACATTTTTGTCTCAGCTCTGGAAGGAGGGCTCCAGAGCAACCTGATTTATGCAGTAGCCGAATCGCTCGCTCACAACTTTAATGCCAGGCGCTCACAAAGTAGAATCTTTGCTCACAAGACTCCACAGCTTAGAGGGAACATTGGGGGGAGGGGAAGGGAAAGGAGACTGTAAGCCGCTCTGAGACTCCGAGTGAAGGGTGAATCCAATCTCTTCCTCCTCCGCCTCTTTGAATATGGAAACTTTCCTTCCTCTCCTCATGCCAGAACTCACCGACAGAAATTGATTGGCAAGAGATTCGGGACTGGCAAGAGAAAGGAGTGACTGACCCATAATTATGACATGGACAAAAGATCCATGAAATGGCTACTAGCCATGGTGACTGAGGGGAACCTCCACACTCAGAGGCAGTCAACCTCTGAAACTCAGTGCCAGGAGGCAACATCAGGGGAAGGCCTTGGCCTCCCTGCCCTGTTGTTGGCTCTCCAGAGGAACTGGCTGGCCCCTGTGTGAGGCAGGAGGCTGGACTAGATGGGCCCCCCCCGGGCCGACCCAGCAGGGCTCTTCTGATGTTCTTCTCAGGGGAAGGCCTCGGCCTCACTGCCCTGTTGTTGGCCCTCCAGAGGAACTGGCTGGCCCGTGTGAGACGGGATGCTGGACTGGATGGACCCTCCCTGGTCTGACCCAGCAGGGCTCTTCTGATGTTCTTCTCAGGGGAAGGCCTCGGCCTCTCTGCCCTGTTGCTGGACCTCCAGAGGAACTATTTGGCCCCTGTGTGAGACAGGATGCTGGACTGGATGGACCCTCCCTGGTCCGATCCAGAAGGGCTCTTCTGGTGTTATGTCATTGTGTTGGTCACTCTACTAAAGGTCCGGGGGGGCACTTGGCAGGCCTTCTTGAGGCAGAGGCTTGAGGCCAGTGTTCCCTCTAAGCTGAGTTAGTGTGAGCTAGCTCACAGTTTTTTAGCCTCCGGCTCACACATTTCTGTCTTAGTTCAGGAAAGACGGCTCCAGAGCAAACTAATTTCTGCAGTAACCAAATTGCTCGCTCACAACTATACAGCCAGTAGCTCACAAAGTAGAATTTTTGCGCACAAGACTCCGCAGCTTAGAGGGAACATTGCTTGAGGCCATACCTTTTTAGGACTTGGCTCTGGTATCTTTTTTAAAGAGTGTCAGCAGGTGGCCAGGTGACATCCAGCAAGCTTCTGATTGGTCCCTGCCCCTATAGAAGGGGACCTCATGTGAACACACAAAGCTGCCTTCCACTGAATCAGACCCCTCTGCGTCCATCCAGGTCAGCATTACCTGCTCAGACAAGCAGCTGCTCTCCAGGGTCTCAGGCCAAGGTCTTTCTGGTCTCCTTCCTGGTCCTTTTTGACTAGCGATGCTGGGGATTGAACCTGGGACCTCCTGCATGCCAAGCAGATGCTCGGCCACTGAGCTTTCCTGCTCCCCGATGTTTGTTGTTCAGTCGCACAGTCGAGTCCGACTCTTCGCAACCCCATGGACCAAATCATGCCAGGCCTTCTGGTCTTCCGCCGTCGTCTGAAGTTTGCTCAATTTCATGTTTGTTGCATCTATGACACTAACCATCTCATCCTTTGCCGTCCCCGTCTTCTTTGACCTTCAATCTTTTCCAGCATCAGGGTCTTCTCCAGGGAGGGCTCCCTTCTCATTGGGTGGCCAAAGTATCTGAGCTTCAGTTTCATTATCTGGCCTTCCAGGGAACAGTCAGGGTTGATTTCTTTTAGGATTTACTGATTTGATCTTCTTGCAGTCCAAGGGACTCTCAAGAGTCTTCTCCAGCACCATAGTTCAAAAGACTCTATTCTTTGGCGCTCGGCCTTCCTTATAGTCCAACTCTCGCAGCCATACATGACTACTGGGAATACCATTGCTTTGACCAGGCGGACTTTTGTTGGCAGGGTGATGTCTCTACTTTTTATCATGCTGTTTAGGTTCGCCATCGCTTTCCTCCCAAGGAGCAGGCGTCTTTTAATTTCATGGCTGCTGTCACAGTCTGCGGTGATCTGGGATCCCAGGAACGTGAAGTCTGTCACTACTTCCACGACTTCCCCTTCTATTTGCCAAGGAGTGATGGGGCTGGATGCCATGATCTTAGTTTTTTTGATGTTGAGCTTCAAGCCCACTTTTGCGCTCTCCTCTTTCACTCTGAGCTCCCCGATAGCCTTATGCTATTTAGGCTGAGGCCTACTGAACCTCATTGAGATCAAGGGGACTTCTTTTTTTTACAATATAATTTTTATTTATTTTAACACAACACAGGACTCACAAACATAACCCTCCACCAAAACACCACATCTATACATTCAAATGTAGAACCGCATTCATTTCCTCTTAGTCATTGTCTAACCACGAGATCAAGGGGACTTCTGACTCTCCCTTGGCCATACGTCTCATTTTCAGATTCTTGATCTCCGTCTGTCATGGAGTTGTCTCTAAAAGAAGTCAGCTAGGTGCCCCCTCATGATTGTGGGAGCTCCAGGGCTTCTCCTGAGCCAGTCTGGTGTCGTGGTTAAGTGCGCGTATTCTAATCTGGGAGAGCCTGGTTCGATTCCCCACTCCTCCACTTGCACCTGGCTGGATGACCTTGGGCAAGCCGTAGTTCTGTGAGAGCTGTTCTTGGAAAAGAGCATTTCTCTCTCAGAGCTCTGTCAGCCCCACCTACCTCACAGGGTGTCTGTTGTGGGGAGGGGGAAGGGAAAGGAGTTTGTAAGCCGCTCTGAGACTCCTTTGGGTAGTGAAGGGCCATGGGGTATAAGTCCATCTCCTCCACCTCCTTCTAGGAGCCAGTCTGGTGTCATGGTGAAGTGCGCAGACTCTAATCTGGGAGAACTGGGTTTGATTCCCCACTCCTCCACTTGCAGCTGCTGGGTGACCTCGGGCAAACCGTAGTTCTCTCCGAGCTGTTCTCTCAAGGGCAGTTCTCGAGAGAGCTCTCTCAGCCCCGCCTACCTCCCAGGGTGCCTGTTGTGGGGAGGGGAAGGGAAAGGAGTTTGTAAGCCGCTCTGAGACTCCTCCGGGTAGTGAAGGGCCATGGGGTATAAATCCAATCTCTTCTTCTTCGTCGTCTTCTGACTCCTTTATCTTCCCCATCTTGACCCAGGGAGAAGACCCGGCAGGACCAGAAGGGCGTCGTCTTCAAATCCTCATCCCCGCGGCCCGTCACGGATTGAGACCTCGGCTTCCCTCACCTCCGCGCGAGAATCGTACAGACTTTCCGGCTGGGGTGGCCCAGGGAGCTGGAACTGCACCCAGCGAGGCAAAGCCGATCTCTGCTGCCAGCTCTCCCTCCTTCCTTTCTTCGCAAAGAGGCAGACAACTTGGCTGGGGAGGGGGGTGGCAGCAAAGGCCCAGGGCGTGGGAGGAGCCGAACCCCAAATGCTGCCTTGGGGGGGGGGGAAGAGACTGGTGGCTCCTTAGGCACATCCCCCCCCCCCCCCCCTTCCCCTAAAATGCATGCTTGGGCTCCGTTCCCGGAAGGATGCTACGAACCCGGTGGCCATCTTGGGCCAGGTGCACAGCGAAGGTGGAGGAGAAGTCTGCCCGGTCGAAGTGGAACTCCAGCGTCTCCGCCAGCATTGGCTACAACCAGCCCAGAGAATTCTCATTTCGTAAGCCTTGTAGTATTCAGGTGGCCTTTCCCACACCAGGAATTCTACAATAAAGCGACATTTTCTGTGTAAGATAATGGGTGCGGTGTTAAGGTGGGGAGGGTGTGTGTGTGAGGCCTGTTCCCACAGCAGCCACCAGAGGGCAACCTTGCCAGAGACAGCCCTAATGAAAATGCCCCACTGAATTCCATGCAGGGACTTCCTTAACACGGAGTAACACTGGATGGGAATCAGGGGACATTTCGTAGAAAAAGAGGTGCAGGAGCTCATTAACATAATATTTGCATACGCCACACCCCCTGACATCACCGGAAGTGTGACAATTTAGCGCTTGGTAATATTGGTGTTTAGTCATGCCGGCCACATGACCACGGAAATGTCTTCGGACAGTGCTGGCTCTTCTGCTTTGAAACGGAGATGAGCACCGCAACCCTAGAGTCGGATTCGACTGGCTTTCGAGCAAGGGAACCTTTACCTTTTAATATATTCATAAATCATAATATACAATAACAGAAAATAAGTAATATATATAGTGAATGTAGACGGTGGTCTCCGGAATGGTGTGCCATTTCAACAATTATCTTCTTCCGAACAAGGATATGTACATAAACTGTCTTTCAACAATTCATTTCTCTTGGTGACGTATTGGAAATATACTGTTGCATTCAGCAATTATAGCCCTTTGAAGAACATAGCTGTAAGCATAGCTTTATGATGAAGTGAATCAACAGTATATTTCCAATACGTCACCAAGAGAAATGAATTGTTGAAAGGCAGTTTATGTACATATCCTTGTTCGGAAGAAGATAATTGTTGAAATGGCACACCATTCCGGAGACCACCGTCTACATTCACTATATATATTACTTATTTTCTGTTATTGTATATTATGATTTATGAATATATTACCAAGCGCTAAATTGTCAAGAGTTCTTTTTCCTTTTTTCATTGGTCTTTTTACTGTGCCCATTCTTGTTACTATCACCGGAAGTGTGTCAGAAGGCAACACCCACCGCTCTGCCTCCACTGGACTGTTTTGGATTGCTAGCTATTGGGGGGGGGACGTGCAGATCTGCCATCACAGAGGAGGGAGAGCTTGTACCTGAAGGCGGGGCGGTGGGGGGCTCTGCAACTTACCTGGTTGCTTCTTGCTCCTCATGGCCCGACTGAGGGCTGCTGGGAGCAGGGGGCGGGGTTTGTTGCATGTGCCCGCCCCCTGAACTCTTTACTGCCGGAGCTCCGCTCCTGTGCGCTCCCGCAGGAAATGACCCCTGGATGGGAGTTTTGATCTCCTAAATTAGTCAGGTTTAAGATAACCAAAAAAAACACTGTCAGCATTACATGTGCATTAAAATAGAGATGACCTGGTAGACCATATTGGATTTGTGTACCATTCACACATTCATTATAACAATATATCAAGATGGGTGGCCGTGTTAGTCTGTCTGTAGGTGTAGAAAAGAACCAGAGTCCAGCAGCACCTGCAAGACTGACAACACTTGTGGCAGTGCAGGGACTTTCGTGAGTCACTGCTCACTTCATCAGATACAGCTAGAGTGTGAGTCCATCTGTCCTTATACCTTAGAGAGGGGAGTGGTTTCAGATGCCAAATGACATTAGCAAACAAGGGAAAAAATGCATGTGCACAAATTTTAACACCAAAAATCAATGATTTAATAAATTAAATAGATAGATAGATATAGTACTCAGAACAAATTTTCCTATGACACAATAAATAGGCAGGTAGAAATTCACAGGTAAAGTTAACCACAGGTAGAAATTCACAGGTGGCATTTTCACCCAAAACAATTTGTAATAATGAATTCAAAAGAGTCCTTGAACTGTAAGGATGTCGCAGTGTCTCTGCCAGCAAATCCGTTTCAATAATTTTTTCAAGAATCATGCTGGTGTTAAAATTTGGGCGCATGCATTTCCCCTTGTTTGCATAGATTGCTGTGCCACGGCCTTTCATCTGGTATCAAATGACATTAGCAGGCAAACGACAGTCACAGGCGTGATTGGGTCACAAGGCTGACGGATTTCCATTCTGCAGGGCTAAATGTGGTGACTTCCATGGAGACAGAACAACACGGGCAGCCGTGCTAGTCTGTCTGTAGCAGTAGAGAATAGCAAGCGTCCAGGAGCAACTTAAAGATTTAACAAAATTTGTGGCAGGGGAGGAGCCTGCATGCGTCAATGCTCTCTTCTTCAGATACAGCTAGAGTGTGAGTCCGTCTGTCCTTATACCTCGGAGAGCGGAGTTGGTTTCAGATGCCGAATGGCAATAGCAGGTGAATGACAATAGCAGGTGTGGTTGGATGAGGTGTGGTAGGCAGAGGGGGAGTCGGTGTGGAGAAATCCCCATTGGCCATGAGACAGGAAGCCAAGGTCCAGTATCGCCTTGGGGCTTTTTTGGGGCATGAGCTTTTGTTCTACTCCAGAACAGCATGGCTCCCCTTGGAAAGTATAATAACCGTGTGCTCTCAGTTCACAGCCGGCTCATGATGACCAGTGTTCCCTCTAAGCTGAGTGTGAGCCAGCTCACAGTTTTCTAGCCTCCGGCTCACACTTTTGTCTCTGCTCAGGAAGGAGGGCTCCATATGGTTGAAATGGACAAAATGACAAGGAAACGTAATAATCTGGAAGAAGCGGATTTTTTTGCGGATTGGAAAGTTTTTAAAGACTATTTGGAAAACAACTGGGATATAAGGGACGGTTTATTTAGCTTTGATAACTACTGAAAATTAATAGATATTGTAAAATACAATAAGATGTATAACCAAAATGGGGAAGGATAAGTTACCTATAGATTTGTGTAATAGATTTAAAAGGAGGTTAAGAGGATTTAAGAACTGAGCAGGAGGTTAGAGCACTGTGGGAAGCCGAAAAGGGGGGGGGGGAAGGGGGGAGGAGGGTAGGATATATGGGTATAAAAGTGTGTGATGTATATTGACTTGTGTTTATTATATCCTAATAAATTTTTCTTAAAAAGAAAAGAAAAAAGGAAGGAGGGCTCCAGAGCAAACTCATTGATGCAGCGGCCAAATCGCTCGCTTACGACTTTAATGCCGGGAGCTCGCAAAGTAGAATTTTTGCTCACAGGACTCCGCAGCTTAGAGGGAGCATTGCGTTTTCAAGGCAAGAGACGTTCAGAGAAGGTTTCCCATTTGCCTGCCTCTGTGTCGTGACCCTGTACTTCCTTGGGGGTCTCCCATCTGAGGACTAACCCGGGCCGACCCTGCTTAGCTCCCAAGACCTGACAAAACCAGGCTAGCCTGGGCCACCCAGGTGAAGGCAGGAGATAAATAGAGGCAGTTTGCCATTGCCTGCCTCCGGGCTGAAACCCTGGATTTTCTCAGTGGTCACCTACAGGGGTCATTTCCTGCAGGAGCGCACAGGAGCAGAGCTCCGGCAGTAAAGAGCCCAGGGGGCGGGCACATGCAACAAGCCCCACCCCCTGCTCCCAGCAGCCCCGGACCACGAGGAGCAAGAAGCAGCCAGGTAAGTTGCAGTGGGTGTTGCCTTCTGACACACTTCTGGTGATGTCAGGGGGTGTGGCATATGGAAATAAGTTATGCGACTGAGTTATGCTAATGAGCTCCTGCACCTCTTTTTCTACCAAATGACCCCTGGTCACCTACAATGCTCCCTCTAAACCATGGATTCCTGTGACCAAAAATCCTACTTTGTGAGCTCCTGGCATTATAGTTGTGAGCGAGCGATTTGGCTCCTGCATAGATTAGTTTGCTCTGGAGCCATCCCTTCTTGAGCAAAGACACAAATGTGAGCTGGAAGCTAAAGAACTGTGAGCTAGCTCACACTAACTCAGCTTAGAGGGAACACTGCTCTGGAGCCCTCCTTCCTGAGCGAAGACACAAATGTGTGAGCCGGAGGCTAAAGAGCTGTGAGCTAGCTCACACTAACGCAGCTTAGAGGGAACACTGCTCTGGAGCCCTCCTTCCTGAGCGAAGACACAAATGTGTGAGCCGGAGGCTAAAGAGCTGTGAGCTAGCTCACACTAACGCAGCTTAGAGGGAACACTGCTCTGGAGCCCTCCTTCCTGAGCGAAGACACAAATGTGTGAGCCGGAGGCTAAAGAGCTGTGAGCTAGCTCACACTAACGCAGCTTAGAGGGAACACTGCTCTGGAGCCCTCCTTCCTGAGCGAAGACACAAATGTGTGAGCCGGAGGCTAAAGAGCTGTGAGCTAGCTCACACTAACGCAGCTTAGAGGGAACACTGCTCTGGAGCCCTCCTTCCTGAGCGAAGACACAAATGTGTGAGCCGGAGGCTAAAGAGCTGTGAGCTAGCTCACACTAACGCAGCTTAGAGGGAACACTGCTCTGGAGCCCTCCTTCCTGAGCGAAGACACAAATGTGTGAGCCGGAGGCTAAAGAGCTGTGAGCTAGCTCACACTAACGCAGCTTAGAGGGAACACTGCTCTGGAGCCCTCCTTCCTGAGCGAAGACACAAATGTGTGAGCCGGAGGCTAAAGAGCTGTGAGCTAGCTCACACTAACGCAGCTTAGAGGGAACACTGCTCTGGAGCCCTCCTTCCTGAGCGAAGACACAAATGTGTGAGCCGGAGGCTAAAGAGCTGTGAGCTAGCTCACACTAACGCAGCTTAGAGGGAACACTGCTCTGGAGCCCTCCTTCCTGAGCGAAGACACAAATGTGTGAGCCGGAGGCTAAAGAGCTGTGAGCTAGCTCACACTAACGCAGCTTAGAGGGAACACTGCTCTGGAGCCCTCCTTCCTGAGCGAAGACACAAATGTGTGAGCCGGAGGCTAAAGAGCTGTGAGCTAGCTCACACTAACGCAGCTTAGAGGGAACACTGCTCTGGAGCCCTCCTTCCTGAGCGAAGACACAAATGTGTGAGCCGGAGGCTAAAGAGCTGTGAGCTAGCTCACACTAACGCAGCTTAGAGGGAACACTGCTCTGGAGCCCTCCTTCCTGAGCGAAGACACAAATGTGTGAGCCGGAGGCTAAAGAGCTGTGAGCTAGCTCACACTAACGCAGCTTAGAGGGAACACTGCTCTGGAGCCCTCCTTCCTGAGCGAAGACACAAATGTGTGAGCCGGAGGCTAAAGAGCTGTGAGCTAGCTCACACTAACGCAGCTTAGAGGGAACACTGCTCTGGAGCCCTCCTTCCTGTGTGAGCCAGAGGCTAAAGAGCTGTGAGCTGGCTCACACTAAGCTTAGAGGGAACACTGGTCACCTATCCAAGTCCTAACGGGGGCTGACCCTCCTCGACTTCTGCGATCTGACGCGATCAGGCTCGCCTGGGCTGCGAAGACCTGGGTGACCGTGTTGCACCTGTGTCCCATTCACATATGATCGTTCCCCTGTTTAGAACCCACAGGAGGAGGACTCCCCCCCATCCCGACAAACCTTCTGATGGCTCAAGTGGTTAAGACGCTGAACTGCAGGCTGTGGAAGGTCGGTAGTTCAGCAGTTCGAGGCCCGAGTGTGCCGCACGACGGAGTGAGCTCCCGTCTCTCGTTCCAGCTCCTGCCAACCTCGCAGTTCGAAAGCAAGAAATGGCAAGTAGATAAATAGGTACCACTCCGGTGGGAAGGGAACAGCGTTCTGTGCGCCTTGGTGTTTAGTCATGCTGGCCACATGACCACGGAAATGTCTTTGGACAGCGCTGGCTCTTCGGCTTTGAAACGGAGATGAGCACCGCAACCCTAGAGTCGGACGCGACTGGCTTTCGAGCAAGGGGACCTTTACCTTTACTTTAGGAGCTGCGGTGGCTCAAGTGGTGAAGACGCTGAACTGCAGGCTGTGGAAGGTCGGTAGTTCAGCAGTTCGAGACCCGGGTGCCGCATGATGGAGTGAGCTCCCGTCTCTCGTTCCAGCTCCTGCCAACCTAGCCGTTCGAAAGCAAGAAATTGCAAGGAGATAAATAGGTACCACTCTGGTGGGAAGGGAACAGCGTTCCGTGTGCCTTGTTGAGTCATGCCAGCCACATGACCACGGAAATGTCTTCGGACAGCGCTGGCTCTTCAGCTTTGAAACGGAGATGAGCACCGCAACCCTAGAGTCGGATTCGACTGGCTTTCGAGCAAGGGAACCTTTACCTAAATGCACTGGGAACCCAGAGGGTTTTTTTTGGGGGGGGGGGGAATCTACATGGTGGTCGGCTGACAAACCAGGAGCGGCCGTCTTCATCTCCCCCTTGCCAAATGAACCCCCCCCCCACACACACACCACCTTTTGATCTGGCCCTTGTGTATTCTGGTGCTGCCTTGCAGGGAAAGGAGGGGGGGCAAAAGGGGAGAGCGGTCCCTTCCCCTGCAGGTTGGCCTTATCTGGCCTCTACTTCCTTCACTGTTCTTTTCTTACATGGGATTAACTGCTTGGGGGGGGGGGGGGAGAGGTTGTCAGGGCCTGTTAGCTTAGGCCGCTACAACTGGTGAGCTATTCTGTAATCGCTTTAGAGTGGGGGAAAGAATCCCATAAGCAGCTTGTTTCCCTAAATCCTAAAGTGGTGGATTTCTCCAGCACTCAGGGAACCCTTCCCCCCACTTAGTTGTGAAGCCCTGCGCCCCAAAGAAGACCTTGGGGCACATTTTAGGACATACACTGGGCATGAACATAGGAGAGAAGCCAATGCTGGATCAGGCCAGTGGCCCATCCAGTCCAACACTCTGTGTCACACAGTGGCCAGAAATACCAGGTGCCATCAGGAGGTCCAGCAGTGGGGCCAGGACACTAGAAGCCCTCCCACTGTCGCCCCCCCCAAGCACTGAGAAGACAGAGCATCCCTTGCCCCAGCCCGAGAGTTCCTATAAGAACATAAGAGAAGACAATGTCGGATCAGGCCAGTGGCCCATCCAGTCCAACACTCTGTGTCACACAGTGGTCAAAAATACCAGGTGCCCTCAGGAGGTCCAGCAGTGGGGCCGGGACACTAGAAGCCCTCCCACTGTTGCCCCCCCCCAAGCACCCAGAAGACAGAGCATCCCTTGCCCCAGTCATAAGGACGTAAGAGAAGCCATGCCGGATCAGGCCAGTGGCCCATCCAGTCCAACACTCTGGGTCACACAGTGGCCAGAAATACCAGGGGCCCTCAGGAGGTCCACCAGCAGGGCCAGAGCTCCAGAAGCCCTCCCACTCTTGCCCCCCAAGCACCAAGAAGACAGAGCATCACCTGCCCCAGCCTGAGAGCCCCTATCTATCCCTTGTGGCTAAGAGTCACTGATGGACCTCTACTGCATATGCTTATCTAATGCCCTCTTGAAGCCGTCCATGCTTGTAGCCGCCACCACCTCCTGTGGCAGTGAATTCCAAGTGTTAATCACTCTTTGGGTGAAGAAGGACTTCCTTTTATCTGTTCTAACCCGACCGCTCAGCAATTTCATGCAGTGCCCACGAGTTCTTGTCTTGCGATAAAGGGAGAAAAGTCAGTCAGCCAAGGGCTCAACATGACCTTTTTCCAGAACCTCTGCTCATTTGGAACCCAGTGTCCTAAAGAGAGCTTGGATGAAGCCTCCTTGGGGGGGGGGGGACTCACAATAGAGACTCCAATTTCTGCCCTAGCTATCATCTGCCCTGGAATGCCCCATGTTTGGCAGACCAGGGTTAAGAAGAAGTGTAGTGGGACGGACCGCCTTGGGAGGTGGTGGATGCTCCTTCGCTGGACGTTTTCGAGCGGAGGCTGGGCGACCATCTTTCAGGTGTGTTGTAGGTATGTAGGGCTATATTTCAGCTCTGCTCCTGCAGAGTGCAGGGGGTTGGACTAGATGACCTGCAAGGTCCCTTCCAACTCTAACATTCTGTGATTCTATACCGGCTAAATATCAGGAGAAACTTCCTAACTGGAAGAGTGGTTGAGCAGTGGAACAGACTGCCTCGGGAGGTGGTGGATGCTCCCTCGCTGGACGTTTCCAAGCGGAGGCTGGACGACCCTTTCGGGTCTGTTGCAGGGCTATCTTTCGGCTATGCTCCTGCAGAGTGCAGGGGGTTGGACTAGATGACTTGCAAGGTCCCCTCCAGCTCTCACATTCCATGATTCTAAGAGGAGATTGGACTTATCCCCCGCCCTTCACTCGGAGTCTCAGAGCAGCTTACAAACTCCTTCCCCTCCCCACACTCTGTGAGGTAGGCGGGGCTGAGAGAGCTCTGAGAGAACAGCTCTGAGAGAACTTGTGACTGACCCGAGGTCACACCAGCAGCTGCAGGTGGAGGAGAGGGGGAATCAAACCCGGTTCTCCCAGATTAGAGTCCGCGCACTTCACCACGACACCAAACTAAGTCTACCCCATTCCATTCCGAAAACAATCAGAGGGAGAGGTCTGTGCTAGGCTATGGCTGGGCTTCCAACTCCCACAGTCAATTGATCACAGCACAAACGCGGCGGGGGGGGGGGAAGCTCTGTGTGTGTGTGTCAAAAACACTACCCCCCCCCTTGCCTGGCTGCCTCCGGTCATTGGCAGAGTCCTCAGGGTGCTAGATCCCTTTGCCTGCACCTGAAAGAGAATCCAGGGCCACTCTAGAGGCAAAAGCTTCAGAGTGGAACTGCACGGATCAGGAGCAAGGCTCCCTCGAAGCTGTGGAATCTTGTGAGCAAAAATTCTACTTTGTGAGCTGCTACTGGCATTAAGGTTGTGAGCCAGCGATCTGGCTGCTGCATGAATTAGTTTGCTCTGGAGCCCTCCTTCCTGAGCGAAGACAAAAATGTGTGCGCCGGAGGCTAAAAAAACGGTGAGCTGGCTCACACTGACTCAGCTGAGAGGGAACACTGCTCAGGAGGCCCATGCCTATAACACCGCAAGCACTGGGTGGGTTTTGCTGTGTCTCCCCCCACCCACCCCAAGACAGCAGCCAAGCGATAAATCCCAGTTCACCATCCTTGCAAGAGAGAAGTCCTTTTATTTCATTGTACCAAGCAGCCGATTAAGAAAAAGATCCGTACTCCGGTCATAAAAAGGATCAACGCTTATGTCAAAAGAAGCCCGTTTGAAAGTTGCTCCAGCATTGCTAAGGCAACACGGTCGCCTGCTCCAGAACGTCACGGAAGGGGAAAGTCCAAGACTCCCTTGAACCCGGAAGAGTAATTTCTCCTGAAGGAAACGGGGACATTTTTTCTCTTGGACTACTTAAGGGGCCGGAGGGAACCGGCACAGGATTAGTAATACTTCCCAGCCAGCAGATGGTGGTGCAGCACCCTTGCCTTCTGAAGAACCTCGGTACGACTGCTGGCTGACCAATGGCCAGTCCACTGCAGGACCTTTGAAAACATCAACCCAAGAGGAATTGGCCCTACTTCATTTGAAAAAAGGAGCTGAACGGGAGGTCCAAAGACCACAGAGTTCCATGAGGACTGGGCCCTAAGGCCAAAGAGCACAGCAGGCCTCTTGCTGTGTGGAACCAAACCATGCTTTCATCTCCCTGGACTAAAAGACATGATTTCCCAGCCAAACCTGCTTTGGTTCCATTCTAGCCGGCGACAAAGGACCGTCAAAGCAAGGAGGCCTCTTCCAAAAGGGGACAGAAAGATCCGGGGTCGGAGTTCTGCCAGAAGAAAAAAACGGAATGACCCCCGTTATCAAGTGAAATTCGGGGTCCGAAGTTCCTTGCTGGCTTGTGAGCAGACGCCTGCGATTGGGAGCCACGTTGGCAGAGCAGAGGGAACACGTTCCGGAACTCTGGAAACGAACAAATTCTTGCACAGGCTACGAGCGGGACTGGCGCCCAGAGGGCCAAATATGGCCCTCCGGGGGGAAAAAAAACCCCAACTGGTTCCTGGTTTGCA